ATTTTGGAATGGGATATGCTTCAGATGTGGCCATTGATTCTTTATTTCATTCCATTTAATAGCTGGAGTGTTACCTGTTATGTCCTCAAGAACATTAGCTCCCAGTGGTGCACAAAAATCACCGCTCACACTAGCTATTGACAGTTCGATTCTTTGTGACAATTTCTTTACTTCTGTTCCAGCAGTTCCCGAGATAGTTAAATTCTGCATTCGGCCTTCAAGTTGCAATTCTTCGGCTGCATTCTCTGTAATGTATGATCCCGTCGAACAAGGGCCAAGCACGACATTGACTCTTAATTTTATCGGTCCATTCATAACATCAGCTGGTAAAACTATTAGTGGATATTCTCAACTTGATTTGCGGCATAAGTCTTAATACTGTTCTCATTGGTTTTGTCTTCAGCTGCAGGTGATTCTTTGTCTGCTAGTTCCCCATTAGGTTTCTGTGATGCTTTTGCCTCTTTACCACTTGTGTATCGATTAGAGTCGTGCAAGAAGTTGCTGTGTCCACTACTCTCACAACCGTCAATGCCACATTTTTTACTTCTAGGGCAGTTTTTACTCCGATGGCCTGCAGCTAAACATCTGAAACATCTACCAGTTTTGGCTATAAGTTCTTTGCGCTGGGTCATGGAAAGTTCCTTGAACTTTGAACACACCCATGGTGGATGATCTATGGTGCACTTGTCTACTATACACTTTCTACGACTACCCATTGTGTTGAAGCCTCTGTTGAATCTCTTGTCTTGTCTCTTGTTAAACTCTCCTGTCTCTTCTAGTTGCCTCGTCCATGATTTGTACTCTTGTCTCAATCCATTGCACTAACTTTTCAAAGCTGTCATCTTCCTCATGTTCATATAACCAATACTTGTATGCTCTAATGTCTTCTTCTGGGAGTTTTTCTTTACTGTAAGGTTAATGTGTTGACTTCGCATCTCTCCGTCTGGATCACCATCTTGAAGGGAAATGAGAATTCTGTCTAGAACTGCTAATAACTCTTCCATGTCCGCAAGGTTATGTCGACGCACCTTTGGCAGCCCTCTAAGTGTTGTTAGATGGGTAAGGGTTTGTCTTCGCTTACCGCCATATTTCCTTTTCAGTTTTTCCTTTGCTCGTTCATAGGCATTGTTTAAGAAATCAAAATCTCTCACCATCTCTAGGGCTTTTGCATTTAAACATCCTTGAAGTCTTAGCATTTTCTCTTTTACAGGGATATCAGTTTCATCTACTACCGAAGCAAAAGCGGCATACCATGGTTCAAACTTGGTCTTATCTTCACCAGAGAATGTAGGTAGCTGGACACCTTTCAGCTTGACTTGCTTTAATCGAGGTTGGTGGTTTACCGGGAATTTCTGGGTTGGTGTTGTAATCTCTTCATTAGGGGGTGATGTTGTCATACCAATTTTTGTCTCTTGTTCTTCTTGTAAACTAGCTTTGAATTGAGCTTGAGGGTTTACTGGGTTTTCGTGGGTAGGGGGTGGTGTCTTCTCACCCATTATAGTCTTTTGTTCTTCTTGTAGACTAGCTATTGCTCTTCCTTCATTTAGCGAAACAATGGAACGAGCATCTTCACTTACTTCGCTTGCTGGTCTTTTGGTCACAGAATCGTCTTTCGAATTCACACAAATGTCAATTTCCTCGTCTTTTTTTGCTCCCAAGTTATCATGTTTGTCGATGTCGCTCATCATGTCCGCCAAATGTCACGTATTTTTAACGCTAAAACCTTGTTTTATTCATAGATCGATCCGGCTCGATAGGATCACTTTGTTCTCGTAACTAAAACCGTCATGATTAATCATCGAATAAAACAAATGAATTTTTAGGATTTAATATATAAAGAAAACTATAAAATGTTTTATGTATTTTCTACATGTTTTTCTTGTCACCATGACAACCGTCCTCTCTCGCCCGTCTTTTTGCTCGGTCAAATTTATATTACGTCATAACTTTAAGTTAATATATTCAGAAACAGCAGTTATTGGTGTTATTGCAGTTATTGGTGTTATTGCAGTTATTGCCGTTATTGGTGTTATTGCAGTTATTGGTGTTATTGCCATTATTGGTATTATTGGTATTATTGCAGTTATTGCCGTTATTGGTGTTATTGCCGTTATTGGTGTTATTGCCGTTATTGGTCTTATTGCTGTTATTGGAGTTATTGGTGTTATTGCCATTATTGGTGTTATTGCCGTTATTGGTGTTATTGCCGTTATTGGTGTTATTGCTGTTATTGGTGTTATTGCAGTTATTGCAGTTATTGGTGTTATTGCCATTATTGGTGTTATTGCCGTTATTGGTGTTATTGCCGTTATTGGTGTTATTGCTGTTATTCCCGTTATTGGTGTTATTGCCGTTATTGGTGTTATTGGTATTATTGCAGTTATTGCCGTTATTGGAGTTATTGGAGTTATTGCCGTTATTGGAGTTATTGGTGTTATTGGTGTTATTGCCGTTATTGGAGTTATTGGTGTTATTGCAGTTTTTGGTGTTATTGCACTTATTGGTGTTAGTGCAGTTTTTGGTGTTATTGCACTTATTGCCGTTAGTGCAGTTATTGCAGTTATTGGTGTTATTGCAGTTATTGCCGTTATTGGTGTTATTTCTGTTATTGGTGTTATTGGTGTTATTGGCGTTATTGCCGTTATTGGTGTTGTTGCCGTTATTGGTGTTATTGCACTTATTGCCGTTAGTGCAGTTATTGGTGTTATTGCACTTATTGCTGTTATTGGTGTTATTGCAGTTATTGCCGTTATTGGTGTTATTGCCGTTATTTCCGTTATTGGTGTTATTGCCGTTATTGGTGTTATTGCAGTTATTGGTGTTATTGCCGTTATTGGTGTTATTGCCGTTATTGCAGTTATTGCAGTTATTGGTGTTATTGCCGTTATTGGTGTTATTGCCGTTATTGGTGTTATTGCCGTTATTGGTGTTGTTGCAGTTATTGGTGTTTTTGCCGTTATTGGTGTTTTTGCCGTTATTGGTGTTATTGCCGTTATTGCAGTTATTGGTGTTATTGCACTTATTGCCGTCAGTGCAGTTATTGGTGTTACTGCCGTTATTGGTGTTACTGCCGTTATTGGTGTTATTGCCGTTATTGGTGTTATTGGCGTTATTGCAGTTATCAGTGTTTTTGCCGTTATCGGTGTTATTGCCGTTATCGGTGTTATTGCCGTTATTGGTGTTATTGCCGTTATTGGGGTTATTGCTGTTATTTGCTGTTATTGCCGTTTTTGCCGTTATTGGTGTTATTGCAGTTATTGGTGTTATTGCAGTTATTGCCGTTATTGGTGTTATTGCCGTTATTGGTGTTATTGCAGTTATTGGTGTTATTGGTGTTATTGCAGTTATTGGTGCTATTGCTGTTATTGGTGTTATTGCCGTTATTTCATTATTCATTTCCGTTATTTATTTGACATTCAATTCAGTTTTCGCTGATGTACAGTGAATACTATTAAGTCAGTAAAAATGTTAAAAAATGTAGTAAGAGTTCAATAAAAAATATAGGAATATTGTGGGGAATGCGGACATGTG